TTGAAATAGAATTGGAATTTTATTAGATAATGCAATTAATAAATAACGTGTTACTTCTTTCAATGATTACTTCTTTTTACGTTCATCGATACATATAAGTTTTTGAAAAATTTATCGTCTTTTATGGTAATTTTCTATGGAATTCCTCTTCGGATAGCTTTCAAGGTATTCAATTTCTTGTTATTGAAAAAGTCGTATAATGATAGCATACCAGAGAACGGAAATTAATTTTATGATGATTAAAATGACGTCAGAAATTCGACATCTACTACGGACGATGACAAAAACTACATCTATCTTTATTGGTTCAAGTCAAAAGAATGTTTGAATTGATCAACAAATCTTTCTACGAGAATATATCATGATTGTATTTGCAAAATTTTAACGTAAATTTTGAATATTATGCATTCATTAACGTGGTCAATGACGTGAGAAAAATTTTCATTTAAAAAAAAAAAATTCAATTTATTACTCATAATTGGCAAATGACGTATTTCCAAATATTAATAAACAAAATCTATCAAAAAATCTTTATATAAATTATCATATTCAAATTGTTTTATAAATTAGTATCCGTCTTGAATATCTTGAATTAATATCTTTGTACACGAAACGTATAAACAAACCGATATTTATAAAAATAAGTTATATCAAAAGAAGTTTACAAATCTTGCAATATAAAGTGCATCGTTGCATTAAAAAAAAGAAAGAAAGAAATAACAATTTGTCATAAATATGTTTCAAAATCGTTCAACCATATTTAACCTTTTCCTCTTTCAAATGAAAAACATCGTTTATTTCATGTCTCGTAAAAATCATTAAATTTCATTAATTAATTTATATTAGATTGGTTTGCGCTCGTGATAATCTGGTAAACCGGAGACAGAAACAGAAAGATCTTGAAGACGCCACGAGGATGTGGGCGAATGTTTGCAACAGCGTGTTGCTAGTTAAATCGGAATAACAACTGGCTCTTCTGCGTACTCGATTATAAAGATAAAAGCGTCATTTAAAACATTATTCTCCTTATTCTCGCTATTCTTTTTTTTTTTCCCTCCCAGCCGTCTTAATGGCTGTGATTTAAGCGAGACGCGCTGGCTTTTTACATCCATCGACCTTGCCGCCCCCATCATTTGCACTACTTGGAGCGTTTTACCTAACCGCAATTATTTCACCCAGGGAATGTGGATCCGTTGCACGCGTCGGGCGCGTTTTATACAAAGCGAGGATTCCGATATTTTTAAAACGCTGACGACCGTGTTCGCCGATGGCGAAAGAGGAACGTAAAACGATGATAGATAGTTGGATTGATCGGTGGCCTATTTCCCAGATGTAATCGAGATGCGTTGCTTTATTGAAGTGACCTGATTCAGAAATAAATCAAGTATACTTTGAAACAGAATTTTTAGAATTGAAAAGAAAGAAATAAAGAAAGAAAGTTCGAAGTGTCACGTTGAACATGTTACATCGAAAGATTGAATCCAAAGTAAGTAGGGCAAAGGCTTTTACAAGAAATTTGTTTCTTATTTGTCCAATTCCGATACTACAGTACTACTAACGTTCATGCTACAAAGATGGAGAGAGTTCAAGAACTTCGATCCAATCGAATCGTGTCGATCCAATTCCTTCAAACTTGATCTTACGATCAATCAGGTTACATGCTCACGTACTGTCCACTCGCATGCTTCTCGATCGATCCTTTGCAGAAAAAAAAAAGAAAGAAAGAAAGAGCAACATTTAAGACCACGATAAAAATACCGAACATATCTTCTTAAAAATGAAAGAACACGATCACGTAGCAAATGCGATCGTGTTTACCAACGTTCCAAGATTGTACATCGTGGCAAGCAGTGCACGTTGGGAGCCGAAGGGCGTGACGGAGCTGCTGCAAAATCGGCGAACCAACCCGTGCCACTTTCCAACCAACCGTTACCAGAATCGTGTGAAATTCGTCGAACGCGATCCAAATAGAAATCATCGATCCGCGATCGAGAGGTGATTCGGCCGTACTTTTTTTGCATCGGAATTCGACGCGAAATCGAATGCAACCGCGTACGACGTCGCCACTTTCGCAACGGAAGGGGGAGGAGGAGGATCCTCCTCGACACGATCGAATCTTCTTTGAAAGGAAATCGGGAGTGGAAACGAGATTTCCTCGCGGCGTATTAAACGATCACAGATGCGATTTGCATAAACGGTGCCGGTAACGCCTGTTGCTCCACATTCCGGAGCGCGGTCGTAATGCGGCAAGGTCCACCTTTTGTCAAGGATGAAAAATACTGCTAGCCACGTGCAGCCTCCTAATTATCCACGATATTTTTCCGCGTCACTCGGGTCAATTAAAATCGACGGATACGCGTCTTCTGTAACGAGTTAGGTGATTGATCGTTTGAAATAGATGAACCTTGCGTTTGTGGAATCGCGAGTGATGAATCATTAAATATGAGGTTTGAAAAAATTAGATTAAATTGGAGTAGAAACGAGTTATCGTAGGCAAAAACCGATTTGATTAATTCCATGTTTGGTGGTTCTTGAAAGATTAAGTAGTTTAATATTAAAATTATATTTTGAGGAATACGAAATTGATCACTTCTTAGAAATAAATTCTAATCCAAATTCTTAGTTATATAAATAATTAGGTAATAGAGGATTTCGATTTTAATTGATTCATAGTCAAATATATATTCACGAATTTTTATGACTTTATTCATTGGCTATTTCCACAAGATAATAATTACATCAAAATATTTGATTATCGTCTTCATTATCTCTGTTTTCGTCCATGTTTTCGTATATCAATATTTTATCGTCGTGTGTGATTATGCAATGTTTAGTGTAATATTGTTTTAAATATACAGTCAATGATAACCTTCATTTTTGCATGCTCAATATATATAATCGTATAAGGAAGGAATCAAATTACAATCTAATTAAAATCTAAATAAAAGTGAATAAATTAAACATCTATTATCACATGCAAAATATTATCATCAATTCTTATTCTTTGATTTTTTCTTCGATTATTTCATATGATATTTGCAAGTTCTTAATGAAAGGAAATATAAAACATGATTCTCCAAGAATAATTACAAAACAAATTGCGTAAATGTTAATACATTTCTATTTTGATACTTCAGATAATCGAATATTCTTCTTTTCTATAAATTCTTCTCTTCTTTATTCAACAATTTAAGTAATTAAAATTAATTATGATAACAATTAATTTACGACTTTAATTATTGATTAAATTAAGTTTGTCCAATGTGGTAAAGAAAAAAAAAAAAAGAAAATCGTTCAGAGAAATATTCACGAATTTATAAAGCAGAGGACAGAGTCTCTTTCTCTATCATGTTTTAATTAAAAAATGCATTGACTATTCCTTACATAATTGGAAAGCGTGCGCGTGATTTTTCGTGTTATAAAACTGCATTAATAGGACTGTAATTAAAATGTTGATGCCCACTGAGCAAGTTAAGTGTTGAAGAATTAGCGCAATAAACTCGAATTTCTTCGACCACCTCGAACAGTACTTTCCACGATTAATTATAAATCAACGTGATCGATGGTAGGACTCGTTGCAAATTTTCATCTAATTAAAAAAAGAAAAGTTTTCGTCAGAAGCATTCCTGTTACGTGGTGTAGATTTTATTGATAAAAAAACGCTGTTGTAACAATCTCTTCTGGCATTCTCATTTGAATACTTTGAGCCAAACTATTTTCCTTAAGTAATTACTTAATTCTTTACATCATTATAGAACATTTTGATTATTTTAAAATTATATATTCTTCCAATTTTTAAAAGATACAATAAATATTAAATATTAACTTTTGTTAATATTGTTAAACTATAATTATTTTTTAGAATTTACAAGACTCAAAAATAATCATCTATTCTTTTTTTTTTATCTATTATAAAAATAACTTACATTTAAATTATATTTAACTATTAAAAAAAATTCAAAATTAATACTAATTTTGATCTTTAAATAAATTTCACAAATTTGATTTTACAATCGATATTATGTCCAATCAAGATTGATCAAGATGGGTACCGACAGGTATCACCTTTTCCTTCGGTCGATCGCCGTCTCTCTAAAGCCGGCGCGGCTGCACGTGACTGTGGTGCACGCGTGACACGTGCATGCATGCCAGACCTACAAACAACTGTCAGTAGGTCTGGTCAGAACCAGAGGCAAGGAAAAGTTAGAAAAGGCTTTGCGAAACTGGGCGGAATCGCTTTTACCACCCAACTGCGGCATAAATGTTTGACCTTGCTCGATGCAGCGCGCGTGCGCGCAAGCACAAGTCGGTAAAAGTTTCGTGCCTGTCGAAATCACTTTGGGGACAGTTCTCGTTTACTATTGCCACAATTACAATGATATTACGGTGGTTGAAAATTCAGGACAACGCAGAATTCATGCTGGTTAGAGCGCAATTTACTTGCGCTCGGTGGAAAACGGCGGTTTGTTAATTCATTAACCCTTTCTGGAACTGAAATTTGTTGTTCTTCCTGTTTTCGTTCATACGAACGATATTTTATGGAGATTTACAATTCCTAAAGAAAAAATTGTATTAGTAAATTTATTTAATAAAAAAGTGAGAAAAATACGGTTAGCGATGATCATTCTTAAGTATTCGAAAAGTATTATGGATTTATTATTTTATCGTTAAATAAAATTTTACGATAAAATAATAAATAGGAATAAATCTTAACCTATATTTATATGAAAAATAATACGAATTTTTATATTAATTTTTATATATTTTATATTTTTATATTATATATTTTAGATTTGTAAATGTAGATATATACGATGCATTTTAATTCTGAACAAAAAAAAAATAAAATTTATGATGATAGAGTAAAGGTAAAGTGAAACTGGGGCTTGGATTCTAAAATATTAACATAATTTCTTATATCCATATATCTTATATACATGCATGTATTTCTTTTTTTATTATGATTATGACTAATATTCCGTTTTTATTTTCGTTTACAGAAAATTTAGCGCCATCGGAATTAAAAAAATTGAGAAACAAGCAGAGGAAACAACGTAGAAAGGCTGAATTGGAAAGACAACAAGCTGCTCAAGCTCAAGAAAAGAGAGAACAGCACAATAAATCACGACAACAGACCGATCCTGATTTAGAACAACCTACGCTAGATGAACTTATACCGGAGAAACTGGAGAGGGTTAGTAGACGTATTAATCGGTTGAATTAATTGTTCGAAATAATACGGAATTTGATTCAAACTAAATGATTATTTTTTAGGTCGAGGACCCGTTAGAGCAGGCAATCAAATTTTTACAACCATTACAAGATTTGGCATCGAATAGAATAGAGACGCATCTTATGGCATTTGAAATATACATTCGTAAAGGTACGTAAATCATCTTCGAATAATTATTTCGAAGAAAAGGAGGTTATCTTTGATAAGAGGAGTTATTTAAATAATTTGCTATTTATTACATTATGTATAATAATCAAAAACATTGTAATATTTAATATATTAACAATTATTTTTAAATGATTAATCATGATTTTAAAATATAATACTATAATTTCAAAATTTAACTCCATTAATCAATTTTTAATGCAAATTTTAATAATCAAATGCTTCTTTCAGGTCGTACGTTGTTAATGTTAAGGTCGATAAAACGTGCACACGGTTTAGATCCTAATAATCCAGATCTTCATACATGTCTGGTACGTTTCATGTTATACATTAACCGTTCACCGTTGGAAGGACCCGTAGGCGAAGTAGTGAAACGGCAAACAGCAGGAATTTATTCAGCTTCAACGGCTACTCAATTGAATGCTGAATTCCTAAAAAAGAATCGAAACTCACTGCCGCATCTACTTCAGGGTGCGAGGATGTTATATGTCCTGGATCCCTCTGCTCAAACAAAAGCTCTCTCACTTATCACAAACATTGATGGTCTTGAAAGTGTAACACTCCAGAATTGTACAAAAGTATTGGAGTCATTATGCAACGGTGATTTTGGCCATTGCGATTCGACGATCACTGATTATATGGTGAAATGTCATAAATACTTCCCGTACGCGACCGCTTTTCGACCGCCAGAAACGAAAGTGACGGTAACAATCAAACATCAAGAAAAAGAGAATTCCATCAAGAACTGATCCAGGCACGCGCTGTCCAGCGTTACTGAATCGTTATGTAGTTAGACGACGAGGCAAGTGAAGGAGTATGCTAAGATATGTTCGATCTACGTTGAAGAAACAAAAAGAAAAAAAAAAAAAAANAAAAAGAAAAAGAAAAGAAAAGTAAAATTAAA